AAATAGTATTAATTAAAATTAATTTAATATAATATAGGGCTGTGCTAAGTCTGCATAGTATAATGACTCAAACTTTAGATGGCCCAGAACTCCTGGATAAGTGTTTGTCTGTCTCAAATTCAGACCAGGTGTGACCAGGCAATCTTGAATTGACTTCAACAATTGATACAACACCTGGATATTATAGGGAGAGCACAGTATTATATTGTCTGGGAGAGGAAGGATAGTGTTGCTCAAATGCAAGAGTCCGAGGCTGCTTTGCCTAGTGATTACTGTTTAGGGGTCATGCGTAGGTGAACCTGGGCCCATATTATTTCACTGGGTTTCAACCCAGAGCCCTTCCAAACTGTAACCCCATATATGGCCTAAGGCAGGGGTAGTCAATTGTTTTTTGTCAAGGTCCAAATTTCTTGTTCCTTGTATAGTCAAGGTCCAGGTTCCATAGGAAAAAGTCACCCCCCCCCAACAATAATGATAATAAGTAAATTAAAAGATTTTGGGGTCTGCATCTGGTGGTCTGGATTTGGCCTCCAGGCTGTCTGTTGGGTCCGATATCCTAATTCATGTTCCCTGGGTCGCTTCCTACACTTTTCCCTGTCTCTGTCACCACCTCAGATTGCTCTTGGGAGCCCTCCTGGGTTCCTTTCTGGTATGTCTCTGGAACCCCTTCTCCTGGCAGTAGCAGGTTGTCACCCTTGGCTCACAGTGACTTGGTTGTGAGGTCTATTCCTGGCTATTTGAAGTTCTGGTGGCTTTTCCATGCTTTGCAGTTAGCCCAGATTTAGCTGAGCATGCCCAACAGAGAGGAGGAGCATACCTTCTTGTGTTCAGAGCAGGTCCTTAACCCTTGCCTCACCAATAGGGTTGCCAGATGTCTGGTATCAACCCAGACAGTCTGGTATTTTCTCCTCCTGTCCTGTATAAAACATTCAGAAAATACCAGACACCTAATGGCGGTGCTATGAGACCAACCTGGCAGCACCCCAGCTGCTCTGCCTCAGGTTCGGAGGAGCATACCTTCTTGTGTTCAGAGCAGGTCCTTAACCCTTGCCTCACCAATAGGGTTGCCAGATGTCTGGTATCAACCCAGACAGTCTGGTATTTTCTCCTCCTGTCCTGTATAAAACATTCAGAAAATACCAGACACCTAATGGCGGTGCTATGAGACCAACCTGGCAGCACCCCAGCTGCTCTGCCTCAGGTTCCCCTATCTCTGCCCCAGGCGTCCCCAAGAGCAGCTGGGGTGCTTCCAGGTTGGTCCCACAGCACCGAGGAGCAGTGCTACGGGACCAACCCAGCAGCACTCCAGCTGCTCTCCCGCAGGTGGCCCTGATTCAGCCGCTGTTGAAACTGACCATCAGGGCTGAATCCGGACACCTGGGGCAGAGTTGCCTTGGGGCCTGGGGATTTAAAAGGCACTGGGGCTCATAGCCACCGCTACTGCTACTGTGGGCTGTTTAAATTAGGGATGTAAGGGTATGTCTACACTACAGCGCTATTTCTAATTAACTGAATTCGAATTAGTTAATTCAAATTAATGCCTGACATAACCAAAATGAATTGATCAGAAAATACTACAAAAACATTTACATGTGAAATAGATTTGATTTAATCATGTGTCTAGTGGGAGAAATGATTCTCCATCCCCTGGGGCTAGACAGAGTTACTTGTTACTTGGATCACTTTCTTCAATAAGATTATCGGGTATTTTAGTTTTCCATCCATCTCAAATCTTCACACTTAATTTTCCAGCCTTGAAGGGAGATCCTCAACTATTGTACATGTTCATTGGTAGAGCCCTGCGAGTCCAAGGAGATACCGATACGGATTCAGATACAAATGTCATATCTAGAACCCTGCAAAATTGCAGATATCCACTTTTTATGTGCAGATATCCAATAACCATTCTGAGATCCACAGATCTTATTACAGATAGGACAGATATTTCCGGATGGATGGAGAATATCTAGATTATTGAGCCGGGTTCCAGCACATAATTTCCTCTTTTCCTATTTTTCCTTTTCTTGTTATCTTTGTTGTGTGTCAAAATGTTGGGATTCTTTCCTTAAGAGCTTTCTCTGTTTCTGTCAGATGAGGGCTTGGATTTCCTGTCAGTTATGTTCTTGTTGCACTGTCTTATGTTGGCTTTGAAGGTACCTTTGAAGTACTTTTTTGCTCTCTTCTCATCCACTGGTTTGACTCACTTGTAAGAACACAGCCTGCTTTAGGAGTCATTTGTCTGGCAGTGAAGATCATGTTGATGGTACCCAGGGATGGTCTGAATCAACATTGTGATTCTGTATTCAGCAATACAGAACTGCCAGTTGAGGCAAATTTTGGCAAGGATCTCTCTGGAGGTGGATAACAGGGTTAATTCTCTCTAGTTTCCAATCTGGTTTGTCTCCTTTCGTGAAGATGGTCACATTCATGACATCCCAAAAATTGTCTGGGATTGTTCTGAATTTCAAATCTTGAGCCTGGCAAGCCAATTTGTCTCCTTGTTTGAAGATTTTGGCAATGATTCTGTCAGCTCTAGATGCCTTATTGTTCTTCACCTGTTTGATGGCTTTCTTTATCTTGTTGAGTGCTGATGGATTTCTAAAGTTATCCTGGTCAAGACGTTGAGGGATAAAATCAAAGATATTTTTATCCACGTTGGAATTACTATTCAGGAGGTTTTCGAAGTGTTCCTTCCGTTGTGCATTGATTGATCAGCGCTGTCGTTGAAAATGTCGACTGTGTCACTAGATCTAAGGGAAGTTAGTTCTTGGGTACAGGGTCTGTAGAGGGCTTTGGTGGCATTTCCTGGGTGTTCTCCCACCACTTGTTTTAAATTTAATTGGTTTTCCTTTATGTTCACCATCAACTCAAAGCTGAGATTCAAAGGAAAGATATGGACCAGTGGTCAACATTGCCCATTATATTTTAAGATTTCTTTCTGTTTTCCAAGGATGCAGGATTCTGCTCTTTTTCCCTCCTCCCCTTAAGTTGGTCCTTTTTTCTGCTTCAGACTCCTCCTCTGGTCCTGATAACTTTTACTCAGAATCCCAGCTTGCAAAGAGATATGCACAAAAATAGAAGCTAATGCACACTCTTCTGTAAACAGGGGCTTTGCATGCAAACATACATTGGCAAGTGTTCAATCTTGATTTTTGTGTACGACAGGTATTACTTGTGCATTTTGGAGAATATTGCCCATATTTCTTAAGTCAGTGCTTGACTGCTCTCAGTTGAACGTATTGGAAGTAAAATAGCATTGCTGCAAACATGGTCCTTTTCAAAACGTTATTTGGGCAGGGAGTGGTCTTTTGATAGTCTGCAATGTTATAACAGAGAGAAAGGTTTAATGTCTAAAATGTAAAGATAAGAAAAACTAATGTAGACATTTACAAAAGAAATACACATGGAGAAACTCTCGAAATCTGAGCCAAATTCTGATCTTGTGTTGAATTATTTTTCATTTACACTAGCATAATTGAGAGCAGAATTTGACATTTTATTCTAAAATGTGTTATTTTTTTAAAAGGGACAGTATTCAGACATATTTGAAAGTGTATAAAAATAGCTCTAACTAATAGTAGAAAGTATAACTAATACTGTTATGTGGTAACATGTTGGTTGAGCAATCTTAATCATAAAGCCAGTTTGTAAAATTGCTTTGTGTAAGAAAACATGCTGAGGCAATATTTGTTGCACTTGCTATCAAATATTAAGTAGCAGTATTACAAAAACATCATGTTCAGAATAAACATGCATTAATCATTAGCGCATACATTCAAGATCTATTATATGTCTTTCATATTAGAGAACAAAAAGTGACATGCTAAAGCAGGCACATAACCTAGAATATTGAGTTTATACCTATTATGTTATTTGTATTGCTTTTTCATTATAAACAGAAATTATTCAGGAAATAATAGTAGCCAGCCTTTTGAAATAGTTGAGTCAAGAAGACACCTGTCTACCCTGCTACATGAAAGTTTCAGTGGTAAATTTTTTAAAAGTATTCTATATTAAAACAATTGTTCTTCTAAAGTTTGTATCCATTGGAACTGCTCTGAACATGCCATGCGCAGGCTCAAAGCTTGTTATACGAGGAATCAGGTTTTTTAAGTTGGTCAAATAGCAACAATCTGACATGACAATCAGAATTCTTGAGTCTTGTTTTTCTCCTCCCTACCCATCCTAGAATATTAGCTGCATAACCGAAATGTAGCCCCATGATAATAGGTGAGGCATAAATAGTAGGACTGTAAAATCTGCTTTCCACTTGACTAGCACTGAATATTTATGTATCATTTGAGATCCTTCCACTGTGCAAATTGGTGTGTGAGTGGACGTGCATACTATGTCCCACCTCCACTATAGAGGCCTCATAGGAGCATAGAACAAAAACAGTCTCAGTTCTCTTCTGAACTCAAGGATTGTGACTGTCACTAGCATTTATCAGACTTACACACAGAGCTGCGCAGCTGAACAGTGGTGGCTGTTGGCCAGCCACCTAGCTTTGAAGGCAGTGCCCCACCAGCAATAGCAGAGAAGTAGGTAGCAATATCCCTATGCCAAATACTTTGCTGCCTTCAGAGCTAGATGGTCAGAGAGGGGCAGCTGCCTGTCACTAGCATTTATCAGACTTACACACAGAGCTGCGCAGCTGAACAGTGGTGGCTGTTGGCCAGCCACCTAGCTTTGAAGGCAGTGCCCCACCAGCAACAGCAGAGAAGTAGGTAGCAATACCCCTATGCCAAATACTTTGCTGCCTTCAGAGCTAGATGGTCAGAGAGGGGCAGCTGCTGACCGAGGGCTCAGTGCTGAAGGCAGCCAATGCGGAAGTAAGGATGGCAATACCAGACTAGACCGTGAATTTGGTAGGACTCTCCTTTCCTCTCTCAGTACGTCCACTCATGTGCCATTGGCAATTTAACACTATATATTCGAGTTTATGAATAGCACTATTTTAACCATTCCTCCTCACACATTTCTTATTCTTTCTCTTATAGATGGACAAAAGAGGAAAAAATCCTTAAGAAAGAAACTGGACTCATTAGGGAAGGAAAAAAACAGAGACAAAGGTACAGTGAAGATTAAAGAAGTACATATTTACATAATAACTGTACATTTTTATGAAATTTGTAGACTGAAATGTGTCTCTTCTGCAATAAGACTGTTACCTAAACTAATACATTACCTAGTCATCTGCCCAATGGAAAAAATACTATATTTTATATTGGGTTTTTTTGGTCTCTGCTATAATTTAGCTGCACTGTATAATAAACTTTTGTTACGCAAGCAATCTTTTTTTAATAGCAAACAGAAGTTGTTATTGTTTAAAACATGGTAATCTGTCATTGCTATTGTACAGTCAGTTCCAAGTAATTTCAGGCTGACACATATATGGCCTAATTTTTGAGGACACCTCAAACCAGCCTCTAAAGTTGCCCTCACCATTTTGTGCTTGTAGATCAGTGGTCACCATCCAGTTGATCACGATCGACTGTTTGATCATGGAGGCACAGCCAGTCGATTTTGACGCAGTGTTCTCAGCTCTCCCTTGTTTTCCCCCCCACCTTCAACGAGGAGCCTGTGCTGGCGCTACTGCCTCCTGCCCTTGCAAAATTGGAGACAAAGCCAGTTTCCTGCAGCGGGGAACGAGGAGAAGTCCTGCAACTCCGCGCTAGATCTGGCTTCTCAGGAAGCACACTGTCCTCCCCTCCCCACAGCAATGTGCTTTCTTGTCTTGCCTTTCTTTTCCCGTGACCCAGGGAGGTGGGCGGGTGAGGGAGGTTAGGATGGAAGCAGAGTGGCTGGATTTCTTAAAGGAGCCGCTTGTGCTCTCCTTCCAGCGCTGCATGCAGCTCCTTCCCAAGATATACTCTTCCCTAGAGACCCCCAAGTACTGGCCGAGCTGTTCTTGCCCTCTGCCCCCTGGCCAGACACCCACTAGCACCCTGTTCCTGCCTCCTCCCCCTGACTAGACACCCATCAGCATTCTGCTCCTGTCCCCTCTGCTGTGCCCAGAAACCCTGAATGTTGTTTAGTCAGATTTATATCAGTGTTTTGTCGTTCTTGACGGCTACATCTGTCACCATTTAATTAAAAGGGAAAAGGCTCAAAAATTAAGTACCTTTCTTTTGTTTGTTTTTACTGCTTTGAGTGACTCATCACTGAAGGAAACAACAAATCTTGCCGGATGTGAAAAACTAAACATTAGAGCAAATGCTCCTACCCAAATATTATAGTCAGTGTTTTCAGTTTCTACCAGTGTCATTGTACTTCTGTTCTCTACCTCCTTGTATTTATAGTCACTGTGCTCATCCATCTTGTTGTCTGTGTTTGTCCCTGCATATTTTCCAAACATTCTATTTTGCTGCTGACAGTGAGTGTGCAGAGTCTGGGTGAATAATAAAATGTCAGTGTTGATCTGACTGGGAAATTGTCAGAATTCCCTAGCTTGCTCAGAGCAAGATCCTATTCCCTTACAAATTCACTTCTGTTTTTGAAAACAGGAGAAACGGAACCTTTCACTAGGGTTACCAAATGGTTTCAACAAAAATACTGGAAGAACCTTTCACTAGGATTACCAAATGGTTTCAACAAAAATACTGGACACATTTAACATTACATCACAATCTACATTATATCTTATTTAGAAAATATCGGACATTTATATTTTCTCAATTTGTTTCCCGAGCAGAAAGCTCAAATACTGGACTGTCCAGTTCAAAATCAGACACCTGTCAATCCTACCTTTCACCTGTCTCTATTTATATAGGCATTACTTTAAAGTTTAAGCACCCATTCTTTGACTCTGCACCCTTGCTTTGTAGAGATAGATGTTTCCTGGAATGGATTTCTCCTGCAAGATTTTATCAGCTGATTCTTCATTCCCTCTCTTTCAACCCGCTCTTAAAAACATAGAGTGAGGTAGTTTCCTTGAATACTAACTAGAGAAGATATGTGTATAGTGACATCATGATGGGAGTTTTAGTCTCTGGAAATGGTATGATCATTTTGTTTTATTTTAATTTTTTATGCTTTCAAAAAGCACTAGTGATGAACCATGAAACTTTTAAAGTTGGTTTGTTCAGCCTTGTGAACCCCAAAGAGGATGTATCTGATAGATTTTTTTGTTTGTTTTTGACTAAGGGAATTGCTGATTATTTCTAGAGGAAAAAAACCCAGTGTGAATAGATATTTGACTTGTCTTTCCTGCCAAAAATTCTGGAAACCTTCTTCCATGTTTATTTTCCACTCATTTTCTGTTAATTTAAAAGTAGTTCTTACTGTTTACACTTAGGTTGCCTCAGTAATAATTCACTTTACTGCTGTCAGTATGCCTTGGCTTATTCTATGGAGAGAAGAGCTCCATAATAAATATAAAAAAAGGTTTTTTTCATTATAGTGTCTCAGAAATAGTTTTGTTCCAGGCCTCATCAGTGCCTAGTTGTGTTTCATTTTATTAAATTTCTAAAATAATGTCTTTTGTGTTTTCTAAGCATATGAGTAATTAAAAAAACCACATAGTGTCACTTTTGTTCTAATGGCAGCTAAGAACTTAAGGATTTCCTCATTTAAAAAAAAAAAGTCTTTCCTACAGAAAAAGGATAACTAAATAAAACAGCCTTAAATCATGCTTTGCAGGTCAATGAACTCAGATCAGCTAACAACGTTCCAGTTGCAGATCCCTCACTGAGAATACCTTAGGTGAAATCTTCAATAGGAGTTTTACCATTGACTTCAATGAAACCAGTGTTTCACGTTGCTTCCAGCCCTCCAATACTTGCATTTAATTCTTCTTCAAATGAGCTGTATATCCATTTCACTGTAGGAGTATGCACATGTCATGCACAGTTGACAGAGATTTTCCCTTAGTAGTATCCATCAGGGAAGCATAAGTGTCCTCTGGTCCCTGGCACTACAGCATGCATATAAAAAGTTCCCCACTGACCCCAACCTCCCTCTGTTCCTTCCTACCATCAGTGACAGTTGTCAGAGTTTTGACCTGTATATCTAAGTCTTCCCTCTTATAGTGTATATACAGGTTGAACCTCTCTAGTCTGGCACCCTCAGGAGCTGACTGGTGCCAAACTAGAGAATTTGCTGAACCAGGAAAGGTAAATATTGTTCATCAGCATTACCATCACTTCCACTGCTTACTGGGCTCTTAAAGGACATTTAGGGGTAAATTAGAGCTAAATAACAGCACAATACACTGAGAGCCAGGACTGTTGGCTGTGAACGAACTTTATGGGGCCACGGGAAACTTGGCCACACTCATAAGAAGCCAGCACCCCAGCTTCGATCAGTGTCTGGCAGAGGTGCATGCTAGTAACAAGTGTGACATTTGTAGAGGATCCAAAGCCCTATTTAAAATGGATAGGGCTGCTAGGCTACAGTACCTGTTCAAGCAGTCTGTGCTTCTCCCACCGTCAGAACCTTCCTACTCAGAATGGGAACCGAGGAAGTATGAGTTGGTTAAGAATGCTCCTTCTGTTCTGAATTTTGAGGCACATTCTCGTTGCCAGTACCTAAGAAGTGACCACATAAGTTTCCCAAAGTCTTGGTATCAGGACTTTGAAGTCTCCAGTGAAGGCAATGAGTGGAGGCATGGACTTGAAGGTACATTCCAAAAGGAGACATCTCCAGAAATAGTCTATAAGCCAGGAAAAATTGCTGATTCTAGCCTGGGAAAGGCTCACTGAGACCTGTCCCAGAAGTACCAGTGCATCTTTTGGTAACAGGATGTCTCCGCTATAAGTCACCCCGATATACATCCGTTCTGCACTAAAGTTGATGCTTGTAGGAATTCTGATATGTTATAAATCCTCCCATTCTCCGCTCTTAAATTGCGCAACCCCCTAAACTCCAATGTGTGCAAATGGAAGTCAGCCGCAGGAAAAAAATCTTCGATTTAAGTTGTTCCGCTATAAGTCCAAGGTTTTTGGAATGTATCTTGGACTTGTAGTGAGGATGACCTGTACTGTACACTTAGGAAACCTTTCTGGTGCTCTCTGTACCCCAGGCTTCCAGGCAACCAGTGTGTTGTTTAACCAGATAATGCCAGCTTCTCCTGTTGTTCAAGAATCTTGTCCAGTATCAAGATTGTAAGTGCATGCTCCCATGGTCCTGACTTCAGCCCTTGAACATCATTTGGTACTGGTGGCTTCTAGAGTTGTGCCTCCTCTCTATGGGTGCCATCTAGAGGGAAGCCAGTGATGATCTTGCTAGTACCATCATCTCCAGACTCAGTGCCAGTCTGCACTAAACATTAAAAAGGCAGTAGAGCAGTTTTTAAACTAAGAGATGGGGGAAAGCCGATTGGTGCGGAGATGGAAGCCAGTGATGATCTTGCTAGTACCATCATCTCCAGACTCAGTGCCAGTCTGCACTAAACATTAAAAAGGCAGTAGAGCAGTTTTTAAACTAAGAGATGGGGGAAAGCCGATTGGTGCGGAGATGCACGTAAATCGGAGGGAGTCTTCTCTTAGAGAAAAATCCATTGATAGAGATTCTCTAAGCTGTAGTCAGAAAGAAAGGAGGGGAGAGGGCAAACCATGGGCCAGACCAGACAAACAACCGCATACAAAAGAATCCAATGCATCAGGGAAGGCAGTGGCAAATTTTTAAAGTGCTTGTACACAAATGCTAGGAGTCTGACTGATGGGTGAACTAGAGTACCTCATATTAAATGAGGAGATTGACATAAGTGGCATCACTGAAACCTGGTGGAATGAGGAAAATCTGTGGGACACAATCATACCGGGATATAAAATATATAGAAAGGATAGAGCAGGCCGGGTGGGTGGCAGAGTGGCACTGTATGTGAAAGATAATGTAGAATCAAACGAAATAAAAATATTAAGTGAATCAACATGTTCAATAGAATCGCTATGGATAGTAATTCCGTGCTCCAATAATAAGAAATTAGCAGTAGGGATATATTACCAACCACCTGACCAGGACAGCGATACTGACATTGAAATGCTAAGGGAGATTAGAGAGGCTACCAAAATAAAGAACTCTATAATAATGGGGGATTTTAATTACCCCCATATTGACTGGATACATGT